TTCGGGGCTTAGATGCATTTAGTGCAAGCATGCTGTTTCCTTCAAATGTACTCAGCTCCATTCCTGGGTTGGTGAACCAACTTTGGCCACCATGGAGGATGTGCTGCTTGGCAGGGTGTTGTTTGTTTTGGAGCACTTATGGACATGAAGCCGCCCTTGAGGACCAGCCCGGGGCATGTGAGGTGTGTGTTAGGCTCCTTGGTGGTACCCGTTCTCCTGGGCCCTGCAAACAAGTAGCCCCGCTGACAGGCTTCTATGAGATTCACACACCAGTTTAAGAGAAATCGTGTCGCTAGTAGGAATGTGTTTTCCCACTGAAATTGGTCCTTTTCCTTAGCTGTCAACGTGTGTCGACCCAACAAGAAACCGGCGCATACACTTTCCGTGCGCATTGGGTGTAGACCATCAACAAAGAGCCAGTTGAGTCTTGCCAGACTCTTCCAATGAGTGTTGTGATGTTGGACCCTGTTGAGATTCATCGCGCGGGCCCAATCCGGCCCCAATCAGGCCAACGCGGAGTCCAACGTGCGTGTCCACCTCTCGCGAGCATGGCACCCTAGCTCTTGGAAAGGCAAGAGACAGGCCCTGGTAGACAGCACCGTGCAGCCGTTTTTTGCTCTTTGTCTTTTGCATCGGACGTAGTTTTCGGCATGTTCACTGCCTTGCCAACTCTTTCCACATATGTGATGGCTCTCTTGCTCAGCACCGTAATCGGTGAAGGCATGTAAACCAGCTAGACCATGTCCTAAGTCATGGCGCGGTGCTTGAAAACAGCCGTTTGAGACAGAGTTTGGCTTTACATCCACGATTGACCCTTGCGAAGCACAAGTCCTTGGAATAGCTGTAAGGATTTCAGCAGGCCTCGTAAGGTGAACAGCCATTTGAACAGTCCACCCCTTGGTCGTTAGTTTGTGACCATGGTGCATCACCATCCCAACGAGGGTGGCAGCAATGTGAGGCCAAGACTGGCGTCGTGGATGAGGGCCTTACGGTTGAGGAGTTGGAGGCCGCCCTGGGATGCCAAACTTTGACTTCGGAGCTCATGGCATGTGGAGAGAGGGGCCAGTAGAAAGCTGAAGAGAAATAATGCGAAGACTACTCCAACTTGATTCCTTTTGCTCTTGGCTGGCTGGCTCCTTTCTAAAAAAACACTCAAAGAAATGGTTGGCCTCCATTATCAGTGTTCAACTAGGCTGCAGCAGCGCTTCCTGAACAGGCTTCTTTTTGTCACAACCGTGGCTTGTGTCCATACTCAAGCCAGGCCCCCCCATGGCGCACATTTTGAGGAGGCGATTTGGCGGATGTAGCCAGCGACCCTTGGCCCTTTGACCGGCCCCTGCGCAATGATTGTTTCTCCGGGTCCTTGGACCAATCAACATGACCTCGGACTGGCTTTTGCCACGGAAAAGCCAGGGAACCAGTGAGGTTGAAAGGAATGACTTCTGCGTGCAAAGGATGGTCAACCCTTTAAAAGGGCGGCCACGGCCTGCATTGCTTTTAGAACGCAGGCACCCTGTCTCCCCAAAATGACAGTCAAAGACAGAATTTCGGAATGTCAGACTGGACTCATCAGAGTGCTTTTCTTGAAATGGACATCCATCCTCTACTAACAATGGGCAGCCCCTTATTATTCAGAACTGTTCGTTGGCGCTCAGTACCCTGCCTGTGTCGAGTCAAGGCTTTGTGCTTTCCTCCTTTCAGAAGCATTGCAGTGGAGAAGATGACGCAACCCCGCAACTCTGAACAAAAAAGGTCTATTTCCTTCAAATTCAAGTGGAACCCAAGAGAGCACCTCTTACGAAAAGGACGACTCTTCTAATGGTATTGTTTTAATGGCCCATGTACAGCAAATCAATCCGCAGACTTTTTGCCTTTTCGCCTTGGCGTCGTGTGTGTTGCTCACAGGCGAAGGTGCAGGAGCTAGAGGCCCTGAAGAGCAGTAGTGACGGCCAGCTGGAGGAGACGGAGATTTCATGGCTTTGGTGGTACATGAATCGCATGAACAATAGACAAACCTTTGGGGGGATGGGAACCTTCAAACCATTTTGCTTTCTTGGTTTGACACGCAACCACATCAGTGTTGGTGGTATGTTGTTGTGTGGTTGACACGCAACCACATGGGCATGGTGTTGGTGGTATGTTGTCAGCAGATCTCGCCTTCGAGCGTGCATGACAATTGCGCAGGAGCTGAATCAGGAGATTAGCAGGCTGCAGGCGCCTTGAGGGCAGGGGCAGTCTTCGCTGCAATCCAACCTCAGCGTTAATTTCTAGAAAAGGTGAGTTGACCTTCAGTCACCAATACGGTCCTTTCTTATTTGTAAGACCAGCATGCAACGCGTGCGTGTGCGCATGCGCACGATGTGCATGTATGGGTGTTTGTGGTGTGCTTGTTTGTTGGTTGGTTGGTTGTTCGGTCGGTCGGTCGATCGGTCGGTCGGTTGGGGTGGTGGTTGGGTGGGTGGCTGGGCGCGAGTTTGCAAGTTTGTGTGCTTGTGTCTTTGGGTGTGTTTGTATGTGCGTGTGTGTGTGTGTGCCAGGCAGTGCTGCGCAGTGTTGTTTTGTGTGCTGGCCTTTTCGGGTGGGACAGGCATGCTTGGCATGGCAGGTGGGGGTTGAACTGGGTCTATGAGCATTGGGCGCAGCATGGCGCGACACAAACAAAGGCGCAAGGCATTTGTAATTATTATACGATTGCGCCTGTCAAGCATCGGTAGCAATCACGTGCTGACGTTGCAAGCGGTGAGTGAATTGGGAGGCCAATGCTGACTGGATGCGTTGCTTTGCTGGCCCTTCCAATGGTGAATGTGCCCAAGTGATTGGGGGTAGCAATGCAAACAGCTGGCAACAGTGTGCGACTACTCTAGCATCTCTCTGGCATGCCGCCCTTCTGTCGCCTGTCGGGCGTCCTAGAATGAACCGTCTTGCGCCGTTTGCAACCATGCTTGTGAAGGCCGCGCTGGCAGCATTGCTCTACGCGCCTGAACCTGATAACTTGGATCGCATATGCGTATAAACAACAATGCTCAGCATAGACTTGACTTCATACTCATCGGCAAGCCTTGCAACCATCCAGACCATGGGACACACGAACAGCTTCGAGCGCAGCGAGGGAGCGCAATGCCAGGCAAAGATCCAGGACATGGGAGGACCAGAGGCGGGTGCGATGAACGTATTTGTTCCCAGTTTCTTCCTCTTCTAGTGCCTTAGTGGTGCCCGGCTTTCCCTTGCCTGATGACCGTACCCTGCTGACTCAACATGTTCCCAAAGCGAACGTCGCTGGGCGTCAAACAACCTCACCCACACCCCCCCCCCTTAAGCATCAGAACAGGAAAATGTCGGTTTCGTCAGCACGTGATGGTCACGCCGCAAATGGGTAGGGGATTAAGGTAGTTTCATGCTTATATTTGTACGTATACGGTCGTTTTCATGCTTACTGCTGCTTACTGTCAGTTCTGCGTTTGCATGTGGAGCACATGGCCGGCCAGACCTACTGGTTGTGAAGGGCATTCCAAGGCGGACGCCATCCATAAAGGCTAATGTGGGATCCCTTCTTTGCGAGCTGCTGACCGGTTTTTATTCTGCCTGAGGCAGCCGAGAAAGAGCAGGACGAGCTGGTTGACCTCCTCCGCTCAAAGACCACCAACGAGGACAGACGCCGTCACTTACCGGATCCCTTAATTGGGCATGGTTTTTTTCTTCCCCCGGATGGTGCGTGATGGTGCATGTGCGTGTGTGCGTGTGTGTGCGTGTGTGTGTGTGTGTGTGTGTGGGGGTGTGGGGGTGTGGGCGTGCTTGTGTTGGTGTGCGTGTGTTTGTTTGTGTTTGTGCTTGTGCCCCTATTTTTGGGAGGAGTGGTCCGCCCAACATGCACCACACTCCACACAAATTGAATTGTGAAGGAATTGTGTAGTGGGGGACGGAGCTTTAGCATTGAACAACTCCCTTAAATCCGGGCTGGCTTTTCTGATGGACATACTTGAATGGGCATGGCGTTGGCAACAGGTGTATGTGTCTGTCAACTTTGTCGTGCACTTTTAGGCAGCACCGCTGCCTTTCATCGAGCTTACCCTGGCCGTTTTGCAACTTCAGTGTGGTGAAGCTGCGGCTTTGTGCAGGCTCACAACAGCTCCATCCAAGAGCAGCAGAAGGATACCTTGGCGATGCTCATGGAGGCGCCGAGAAGTCCATGGAGTCAATGGGTGCTGACCCATTGACCGCTGCGGAAGAAGAGACATGTTTCATTGAGAGGTTTGTCTTGTACGAATCGGTGGACAAAGCAGATTGTCCTGGAACCACAATGCCTTCACAGGCAAAACCAGAACACTAAAAAACAACCTTGAGAAACTGGACAAACATGCGATATTCTGGCACCATGATCAGGGTGACCCGGGCCCTGGAGAAAAGAATGACTAGTCAGTAAGCAATTCTGACGCTTCCAGATGCCAATTGTAGATGAGTTGCTGGATGGCGGCGCAGAAGCCCCAGAGCATTCTGCTTTGGAGCCCAGTAAGTTGCATCTGCAACTTGGCGTTCCCACACTGATGACCGACAAATACTCGTGACGCAGCAGCTGCTCCAAGTGCAGATTACGAGGGCGCGGGGCTCACAACCTTTGCATGTCAAGTTCTGACTGACCACTGACGCGAGATATCATCAATAAATATCATGTAAATGGGACAACTTGATATGGCATTAGTTGATTGCAAAATGCCTGAGATATCAGGGTATTGATCAGATCAGGTCCCTGAAGCGACACACAGAACAGTTGCCTGTTTCACGGGGGTTACGCTAATGAGAAAAAAAACGGTTTTCAAAGTGTTTCCTAGTTTAGGAGATGCCTTCATGCTCAGGGTGTTTGGGATGGGATGGGATGGCGGTTACTTTAATCTTCCGGATTTCTTCCAGAAGGAAACCATCGACACCAATGGAAACCCTGAACAGCTTGTGTTTGCTTCTTGCTAGAGCAGGCATTTTCCCTTATTAGGGACTCTGAAGTGGTGGATTTGCTTAGAGTTTCTTTTTGGACAGCTCGAAAAGGCGCTTCCCACAATTTCAGGCTCTCCCCAAATGGAAAAACAGGGGCGCCCCTCACCTCGCTTCAGGCTCGCCTCGGGGAGATCGAGCGCTTGCAGGATGCCCGGGATGCGGCGCCTTGCTAGCAGAAGTTGGCGCTATCGACCTGGAGCCATCCGTTCGCGCCACGCTTTGAAGCCATGCAAAACCATTGTTGCTTGGTATTTACAGGGGGGTCATCAAAAACCAGGGCTTTTGAGGTGGTGCGAAGTGGATTTCGTCCATCCACAGTATCATGTCACATCATGTCTCCTTCTGAGAATGAGTGTTCTTTGAGAGTAGGAACCCACGCCCACAAGTGCTCAATTGTCGAACAACAGAAACGCTACCAGGGGGCTCGGCAGCTTGCTCTCCGACAATGTCACGGATTTTCCCACTTGAAGGATCTACCAAGCAGTACTCGCGGGATATGATACTGGCCTGGGGACTGCGCAAAGTGCAGCGACTTCCCTGTCTTGAAAGTCAATCTACCACATCAACATACTGGAGCATCCAGGGGAGCAACCAATGGATGCCCTGCTTCGTATTGCAGCTAAATAGGTACCCAAATTCAAACATGCATTGAAATAACACGTGCCTTTGGATGACTTATGCCAAACCGACCTGACAAGAGGCTTGCAAGGAAAGAACCCTCGTTTGCAGCGAGCACGTTGTTATTTTTGTGGTAGAGGCATCGCTGCAACTAGAAGCCAAATTCAAAGACTAAAGCAAATTCCTGACATAAGCAACTCCCTCTGACTTTCAATAGTACGGCGTGGTGTGGCTCGAACGCATTCAAAGGCTGCCTGTGTTGATTGCGATGTTTGAAAACGGGATGTGATGGGCATTCGGACAACCTGCGAGAGTGTTGTTGCCATTCGAACAGGGCTGTCTCTGTGTGTGTGGCTGCAATTTACCTTGGTTGATAGTGCTCTCTTGGTTTGCTGTGCTTTGGTTTGGTTTGGCTGGCTCGCTGGCTTGCTGGCTTGCTGGCTTGCTGGCTTGCTGGCTTGCTGGCTTGCTGGCTTGCTGGCTTGCTGGCTGGCTTTTGTGTTTCTGTTTGCTTGTTTGGCTGCCCCACCCAGGGCAAGTTGATTTTGACCATTCCGTTCAGAATAGCACCTGCAAACTAGTGGCTCCCCTTTGCTCAAGGCTCCAATGCTTTCGTATGTAAAATTAGGTTGTTCGTCTGCCAGGTCGACTTTTGTGTCAACCGCCTTGAACCAGCTTCTGGTTGATCTATTAATGGCATGCGTAGAGGGCAAAATGCCCTACCACCAGGAAGCCTACAGAAGCTCTGGACACAGCGGGTGTTCCATGACGCGGGTATTCGATTCCAAGGGGGTAAGTGCCCGCTTTCCCCCGCCATGGGCCTTCAGACCGGGGGTCCTGAAGGGTGCAGGATTTGCGCAAGTAGGAAATGGATGCAGGAGAAAGTTCTAATTTTCACGGGCTCCAGTTTGCACCAAGTGACAGCCATGTGTGTAGCATCCTAGAACCCTTTTGTGAAAGCCCATTTAGAGTGACCCAAAATGTGCGAAGGGCTCAACTTTTGGAATCATCAAGGGGCTTCCTACGGTTGACCAGTTTACCCAAGGCAGCCCTAAAGACCCTAAAGGAGCTTGAACCCTGAAGAAACCTTAGCTTCATTCCCTTCCATCGGACCGTAGGAAGGATTCCACTGGACAGCCATAGGTACGCTTGGAAGTCTTGAAGGTGAAGAAGGACGGCGACCTGGCTCGCGAGCCATGGGCCATGGCTCCGTGTTGTTTGAGCTGTTCGCTTATTTTGGGCATGCCCTCCACAACCAGCCGAAAAGAGGGTCGTTCTTTTGCCATGGGCAAGTAAGCCAGGACTAGCGCTCTAGATCTTGATCCGGGGGCGCTTAGAAGAGCAAGTTTCATGAGACGACTCAACAAGAACCCTGGGGGTTGTTACTCAGCATCAATATTAGGAGGTGTTAACCACCAATTTGCCTTGGCCGACCTCAACAAGAACCCTGGGGGTTGTTAATCAGCATCAATATTAGCAAGTGTTAAGCAACAAATTGGCTGGCCTTCCATGAAGATGCCAAACAAGCGAATGCGGACGCTTCTTGGCATTCGTGCGATATGGGCCCGTCCCACTGTTCCTGACAGATTGTTCAGAGGCTTCACTCCCCGTGGTAACTAGCAAACCAGCACTTGCCCTGCCTGTCATGAGCCTCTCGCGAGCTGCCCCCCCAGCGGTCGGTTTCATCTTGATTTCCTTTCCAAAGGTGCCCAAAGTGTTTCAAACAGTTTCCTGGTTTTAGGCTGTCATTCAGGAGAGGTTTTCAGGCACGCGGCAGGTGAGGAAAGCGCTCGATCCCAGGTGGCACGGACACCTCTGCACAGGATGAGTGCGTGGAGAAGCTTGAAGCGTCTGGGCAGCAAAGCTTGGGAGTGGGACATGCTGTGCATGGCACTG